TGGAAGTTTTGTATTTACCTCACACTACAGTTTCATTGATTCTTGGTGCCGACTTTCAAAGACTTTTCGGCATTATGCTTGATTTATCTAGGGGTAGGTGGTATTTTTCTGACCAACTCCACTTCAAGGAACCAATTGATTGTGCTATAGCTAGCTGTGCTACGGGTGGATTTCAAAGTAATTCCCAAGCAATATGTGCTAGAGAGCACTTAACTATAGAGCAGAAGGAGCAATTGACTGAGCTAACTAACAAATATTACCCGCAAATGACAACAAAATATGGTTGTACTTCTCTTGTAGAGCATCGGATTGACACAGGTGATGCTGCACCAGTCAAGCAACGCTACTATCCTGTCTCGCCAAATGTTCAACGACACATAGACAAGGAATTGGATGAAATGCTACAGCATGACATAATAGAACCTAGTACCAGTGCGTGGTCGTCACCCGTGGTTTTAGTCAGAAAACCTGATAATACTTATCGCTTTTGCGTTGACTACCGGCGCTTGAACGCATTAACCAAAAAGGATGCATATCCCATCCCATATGTCAACCAAATATTAAATCAGCTGCGTGATGCAAGATATTTGAGCAGTATTGATATTAAATCAGCATACTGGCAAATTAAGATAGCTGAAGAATCAAGAGAGAAGACTGCATTCACCATACCAGGCCGTGGACTTTTTCAATTTAAACGGATGCCATTTGGTCTCACAAATGCTCCGGCTACCTGGCAAAGGTTAATCGATCAGATCTTAGGACCAAAATTAGAGCCTTCAGTTTTCGTCTTTCTGGATGATATCATCATTGTCACTTCAACTTTTCCTGAACATGTCAAAGTTCTTTCTGAAGTTTTTGAACGTCTCATCTCAGCTGGCTTAACCATCAACAAAGAGAAAACCCAACTATGTCGATCAGAATTAAAATATTTAGGATACAAGGTCAACTTCAGAGGTCTTCATGTTGACCCGGATAAAGTTTCAGCCTTAGAGAACATTCCGTCACCTACTTCAAAAAAGGCTGTTAGGAGTTTTATCGGAGCAACATCTTGGTATAGGAGATTTATACCTGATTATGCTACAAAGATAGCCCCATTGACTAAACTTTTACACAAGAATACTGTGTTCAAATGGAGTGAAGAAGCTGAACAATCGTTTCAGAAAATCAAGCAACTTCTTATTGATGCCCCAATTTTATCTTGTCCCAAATTTGACTTACCCTTTGAACTACACTGTGATGCCTCTGACGAAGGAATTGGTTGCGTACTTACACAGAACTATGAAGATGGCGAACATGTTATTTCTTATGCAAGTCGCACACTCAACCGAGCTGAAAAACATTACAGCACAACTGAAAAGGAATGCTTGGCTGTAATTTGGGGAATTGAGCATTACAGATCCTATCTTGAGGGAGCCAAATTCACCGTCTATACCGACCACCATAGCCTTATATGGTTAGCAAACCTTAAAGACCCTAGAGGACGTTTAGCAAGGTGGGCAGTTCGTCTCCAAGCCTTTAACTTCGAATTGAAGCACCGCAAAGGGAAGGATAATGCGGTAGCGGACCTACTTTCAAGAACAGCAACAAAAGAAGCACAGCAAGAAGAAATTGATTTGGCTTTGATTGAAGTGAAACAAGGTGTCAAAGATGGTTGGTTTCAGGCAGTGTATGATAATGTTCTAAACCATCCAGAGAATTATCCTTCGTGGCAGATTAAAGGAAATACTCTGTACAAATATATTAGGCCAAGACAACCAGAAATTGACCACCGCTTTGAATGGAAACTTGTAGTTCCTAAAGATTATAGAGAGCAAGTTTATCGTGAATGTCATGATGATCCTAAGTCAGGCCATTTAGGATTTTACAAGACCTACCATAGAATTCTTCAACTGTATTATTGGCCCAAAATGAAATTTGATATCGCTAACTATGTTCGAAGATGTACCATTTGTCAAGCGGCAAAGCCAGAACAGAAGCGTCCCGCAGGAATGATGGGTGAAAATCGCTCTGTATCGCAACCTTTTGAAATAATAGCAGCTGATGTGATTGGTCCACTTCCTAGGACTCCTAGGGGATTCAAGTATATTCTTGTCGTCACTGACCTGTTTTCTAAATACACTTTGCTTTTTCCTCTTCGGTCTCTATCATCAAAGCTCATTGCTCAACACTTGGAAGAGAGAGTTTTCCTTATATACGGTTCACCACGTGCTCTTATTTCCGATAATGGACCAGAATTCATAGGAAAGGAAACAAGAAATCTGTGTGCCTCTTATGGAATCAAAATGTTTTTCAACGCTCGCAGACATGCGCAAGCTAATCCAACCGAGAGGTATAATCGTACAATAATAACTATGATTAGGTCTTATGTTGGTGATTATCATCATAAGTGGGATGAATGCCTTCCTAAACTTGGTTTTGCCTTGCGGACTGCAAAGAGTGAGGTGACTGGATACACCCCTGCAAGTCTAGTGTTTGGAAGAGAGATAACCCGGATGGAGAATATTGACGGAAACTGCAATTCAGGAATTGGTCAAGAGGTCTCTCCTTACCGCTCTCACAATTCCAAGCTGAAGAAGATCTATGAAGATGTTGAAAAGCGTCTGGCTCTTGCTCACATAAGAAGCGCACGGCAATACAACCTCAGGAGAAGAAACATGGAATTCTATGAAGGAGATCATGTATGGAAGAGGAACTTCGTCCAGTCTAGCAAGGAGAAGAATGTGATCTCAAAATTTGCACCTGCTTTTGTTGGACCTTACAAAGTTTCAAGAAAGGTGTCACCCCTCATTTACGAACTTGAAGACAATGTTGGTCGAATGGTTGGAAGATGGCACATTGAGGACTTGAAACCATACACATCATCAAACGCGGAACTGATTCCAGACTAAGAAGATTTCTGAAGATCACGAGCACTTCAAGTGAATGGATTTTTTTTCTTTTGAAGAAAGGGTGGAGTGTGACCATTTTATATTTTATAAAACTATTTAAAAAAAATTTCACATTTCAGCTCTTCAATATTTTAGTTTAAAAGGAAGTGAATTTCCGAGCATCTATTGTCTACAGTTGGACTGTGTACTCGACCATCCTTATCTCTACATTCCATTCCTGAATTCCTAAAATTTCCTGTCTGCCAACTTGAACTAACCATTACAGAGCGTCACTTGGGAATTGACTACTGCTGAAGCAGGATTTAATGTGTTCTATGTTGAGTTAAATAACTTTTGTAGCCTTTTGTTGGGATATTAAAACTCAAGAATACATACCTATTTCTCAAGTGAAAATGAAATGTTAACTACCTGTAAATATGTGCAAATAAGGAAATTTTGTCTTTTTATGATTAATGTATTTAAGGAATTTTTATCTGTGAAAAACTTATCTTCAAAAGCCCATAGGGTGAGTACATTTGTCTATGCTTAATTTAATTTCATTTCAAACTGTATTACTATGAAGGAAAACTGATGAAAAAAATCCATTCTCTTGTCAATATTGGGAAAAATGTATTGTGTTTTAAATAATCAATTTTTATCCAGAAAGTAATGCCATTCAACTCAGGATTTCACATGTGTAATCTCAAAACTTTTCCTGCAAGTCTTATGTAACTAAATATTGAATCTTATGGTAATTTTTTGAATATTTTATCCTCTCATTACAGGTAATAGTGTTTGTATAAATTAATTGTTTCACCTTCTTTAATTTGTAAAGGTATTGACATGTTAGCTTTGTAGTAAAGAAATAATTTCTTAATTGCAATCGTTTACCGTTGCAGTAACGGTAATGCCAATGATTTATGGAAATTAAAGTTACATGATAAATTTGTTCAGTTTTGTGATTAATCAGTTATTATTATGTGAATCTCACTGTATAACCTTGCAAATAGAATTTTTATTTCATATACAAAGATTATTATTAATGTTGATTTATGAGTACAATAATTGAGATATTTTACTACAGTAGTATATGATTGCTGAAGGAAAGGTACTTATTGAATTTGTCATATTAACTCTTTTAATTTGTTCTACTTACAAATAATTAATATTATTAATGATGTTGCAATTTAATGTTTGATGAATTACCAAGATAAATTTATATTGTTTCTGTTCCATACACATTGTATATGTAAATGAATATTTCAGGATTCACAGAACTATACTTTTATGACACTGTTTAATGCTAGGTATACTACATTTTCAGGCTTTTTTGAGTATACCCTGTTGAGATTAGCACTTATTGAGGAAACTTCTAGAAGGTTGTAATTTGAGACCAACAATAATCTACCTGGACCTTAGGATATATTATTGATAACTTGTGGTGACTACGCTTCAACACTTAAGGTCAGACACTTATGTTTTTCCAATTTTCTTGTGCTGTGATTCTCTGGGACAGTTTTTCCAGCTGAGTAACCGATCATCGAACCTATGAACTGTGTCGTGCTACTGCACAGTTATTTAATGGCTTTAAGCCTAAGTAATTCTTAACTTTTATTCTAAACTTGTTCTATATTGGTGTATTGTGTATATATAATAATTATTTGTTCTCTTATCTACTTAAAACAAAAAAAAAAGGGTTTCTGATTTAAATATATAGTAGAAGGACGTTTGAAATATTTTGTAAATTAGGTATTTACTTGGTATTGTATTATAATTGTTGTATTCTGAAGCAAGTCATAAGCTTAGGGGTTTGGAAATATTTTTGAGTAACAAAATACTTTGTAACTTGTATGAGCTCTGAATTAATGGTTCACATTTATAAAAAAAAATTGTGTTTTGTGATTTATTGATTGAGTAAATTGATATGTATTCGAATTTAAAAGGGGGTTTCTTGTTTTCACCTTAATCTTTAAAAAAAACAAGTGGCGCTTTTTCCTGACCTAGTCTTAGAAATTCAACCCCTAACCCAACCCACTCACCCACTGAGTAGAGCTGAGGTATAAATATAATTTTGGAAGGTAACAGTATGTTTTATATGGTAGGTAAAATTATTCTAGAGCCATTATACATTACCAGTTTTTTCTCAGTTTTTGTTTTGATGTCTCGAGCTAATGTGTAAAATGCCTCTTCAACATTGATTGAAGCCTTAGCACTTGTCTCCATGAATTTGATTCCATATTCTATTGCTAGTGCCTCGCCTCTTTCCTTAGAAACCTGTAAAATAAATTATTAAAACTAGAAATAGAACTAAATATGTTGAAGAACTTTTTCTAAATTCACAAATGTTGAAACCTTCAATTTGGTATAGGTTTATTGATGACATTTTCATGGTTTGGGAACATGGACTAGAAAACCTGCAAACTTTCCTTGAAAACCTAAATCAATTCTCAATCCTTAAATTTACCTGGAACTTCTCAGAAGATATTGTTACTTTTTTGGATGTTGACGTTTTTGTTAGAGATGGTATGTTAAAATCCAAAATCCATGTAAAAGATACGAATGCAATGGATTACTTAGCTTACTCAAGCTGTCATCCTGCACACATTAAAAATCCATACCAAAAAGCCTATCAATACGAGCAAAAAACCTTTGTTCTGAAAATCGTGATTACCAAAATTATATTGAAAAACTCAGCAATTCACTTAACAGAAGAGGTTATCCTAAAAATTTAATAGACAGTCAAATAAAAAGCTCAAAAAATCCTAACACAGATAATTTCAAGAAAGATCCAAAATTCATCACCCAATACTTTCCTGGCCTTTACAAAGTTAATAATGTTTTAAGAGTGGCACATAATATTCTTTCAAATTCACCTCTGACCCATAATTTGTTTTCCAAACCCCCAAGACTAATATACAAAAAAGCTCCTAACTTAAAAGACATTCTTTCAAAACCCAAACTACCTCCCACTTCCCAACCCTCAGCAAAACCTTCGGGCTGTAATCAATGCAACAAACCACGATGTGCCACTTGCAAATTAATCATCCCATCAAAAACTTTCACAAGCAGGCAAACAAAAAGATGTTATAACATAAATAGTAACATCACCTGTGAGTCTACTAATGTAATTTACCAAATTTCATGCAAAAATTGTCCTAAAGACTACATTGGCAAAACCACAAATGCTCTAAGAGTTTGTATGAATGGCCACAGATATGATGTAAACCATCCTGATAAACAAAAACCTTTGGCTATTCATGCGAGAGAGCATTCTCAAAATTTTGAACAATGTTATTCATTAAAAGGAATAAGAAAATTGGCAAAAGACGCACCAGACTTGAAATTAAGATAGCTTGAGCAAGCTCATCAATTAATACTTAAATCTAAAACACCTTACGGTCTAAATTTGAGATAGTATATATATACATATATATATATATACATATATATATATACATATATATATACATATCATTTTTTTTTTCTTTCTTTCTATCAAAACATTTTCTTTTTTATTTCTTCATAAATTATATGTATTTTGGATTTTTGCTAAAACCAAATGATTCAGAGTGGTAAACACTTCTATTTGTTATTGTGTTTGTTCCTGAAGAAGGCTAATGCCGAAATATAGAAATTTTTTAAAAAGTGTGTGATAAGTTTATTTTGAAAATTATTAAGCCGTTTGGCAATATTATGAAGAAACAATGTTAAAACTAGAAATATAAATGTTACAGCTTCAAGAGTCACACTATACTAAACCCTGCTACAGTATTACAAAAACTCTTCTATTCCAGACTAAAGTTCAGAATTTTTTTAACAAATGTACCGGTACAAACGTAACTTAGTACAAATGTAACAACCATGTCATTGCAATTGAAATTCAAATTGAATTCAAATTTGAATTCAAATTGAATTGTAATTGCAATTAGTTTCATGACAATGTCAGTTAAGTTTGCAATGTTGTGGGAACATTGACGGAACTAGCAATATGGCCAAATACCCCCGCCGCAGCAAACCTGCAGACTAATGAATTTCCATTTGCCTTATTGGATTTTGGATTTTCACTAAAATGTATCCTTAAAAATATCACATTTATTCCCTATTTAAATAGCATTAGTTTAACGAGTGATCTAGGTTTGCTGCAACAGGGAGGGTATAAGTTTTTTTTTTGTACAGTGTTAATAGTTTAGTCTATAAGTATAGAGGATGTTTGTATATATATATATATATATATATATACTAGTGGCCTGTAGGGGCCATAGCCCCTAATTTAGACTAAAAAAACCATATATAAAAAGACAAATATTTGAAATGTGTTTTTAAAATTATCAATTTTATGTTACTTCAAATTAATAGTGTTTCTTGTTTATATCGTGGTTTTCCTTCCGTCGGAGTCATATATTAGTTGATTCTGATGTGTCAATGAAATACAATTGTAAAATAATGATTAAATCAATAACACAACATAGCCTATTAACAAATGGAAACGGGCACACGGTTGGCCTGAGCCCGGAGAACGACGAATCAGAGCTGAAATCATACAGCCAAACATTGCACATCTTTTCTAGTTTAAAATTGAAGATTTGTTTTGTAATCTTATCAATTCTGTTATAGTTTCCATTTTGAGAACCAAATGTAAAGGTTAAAATTATTATTAACTAGTGTACATGTTGCTCAAATTCGAGCAATTGCAAAGTATTACAGGAGTTATTTCAAAACGAATAACAGTCATATTTACAATGAGTTTAAAAGAGTCAACTCAACGATTACCGCGGTATGTAACTCAGACCATGTTTATCTTCGTTATTGAAAAACCTAAAGCATTCCGGCCGGTTTTCTCCTTCTCAAAATGCCTCGCTGTACAGGCAACACAGGTCATTAATAGTGGGCCAATTGAGAACGAAAAGTCGTTTTGGGGTAGTGTTAGGGCGCATTTGTAACCTAATAGTTGAGATTGTCCAGGGTCAGGTGCTGACTGTGATAAATAAGTTAAGCCTTATTTACGAGCCACTATGTGTAGCTGCGGTCGTTATCACGTTACGCCTCCTGTCAGTCCTGGTTATGTTTCGTTGTCGTCGCGTCGGAGGCATTTAAAAGAAAAAACAACAAATAAACAAATTATAGCTACACAAAACAACGATAAATGCACAAATTTAAGTTACAATCATGCCAACACGATCCGTCATAGCGACACAAAACAACGATAATTACACAAATTTAAGGTACAATCTTAAATAATTGATAATTGATAATTGATACTAACGCGATCCGTCATGAAGGTTATGTTTACACAAACTCAAATAGTAAATAAATGTACTTAATGCGTTTCATTGAATTGAAAAATAAATAACAGCAATTAAATTATACAGCTGATCAAAATGTAAACAATTATGTTCTTCATAAGGATAACATGGGAACTTTCAAAGCCACTGGGGCAGAGCCCAAGGGACTTTTTCAAAAATGTAAGGCCAGTTTGCAAATCTACGCGACACGCTCTTTCCAATGAGACGTCAATGGTTAAAATCGGTTAAGAAATGGCGGAGGAGTTCAACCGACAAAGTTTCATGTAGTGTATTAATTATATAGATTATTATGAAGGCAACTCCCCATTTCGCGGTAGTAAGTCAGAAATATATCTATGAATTTGTCCCTGAATTTTTAAACAGTAAGACCCATTTCCCTATTCAACATTGCTCTAGAGGAAGCACTACAAACAATAAAAAATGCACACATAGGACTAAAACTAGGAACGAATATTAATATATTAGCTTTTGCAGATGACGTAGTACTGATGGCTGAAAGAAAAGAAGATCTTAGGGTTTTAACGGAGATACTAATAAATGAAACTGAGTATGTAGGGCTAAAAATAAATGATGCAAAAACCAAATTCATGATAGTAACAAGAGGAGAAGCTGGAAATAATGAAGAGTTTTTTCAAGTCAACAACCATGAATTCCAAAGAGTAAATAATTTCACCTATCTAGGCGTTCTACTATCTGACAAAAATACGGAAGACATGGAAATTCAGAATAGGATAAATTTAGCAAATAAGAGTTGGTACGCATGCAGTAAACTAATAAAATCAAAACTTTTAACAAGAAAGACAAAAATTAGAATCTACAAAACTATAGTAAGACCTGTACTTTTATATGGAGGGGAAAATTGGATCCTGAGCAAGAACTCAGAAAAGAAAATAATAACTTTTGAGAACAAAGTTTTGAGAACTATATATGGGCCAGTATGTGAAGATGGAGTATGGAGAATCCGCCACAACCGGGAGCTAAGAGAATTATTTCAAGACCCTGATATCATTGGAGAAGTTAAGAGTAGAAGATTAAGGTGGGTTGGCCATATCCTAAGGAGAAAGGAGGAGAGTCTACTGAAGATAGCACTCAGAGGAAATGCGAGGGGAAGAAGACCATTAGGCAGACCGAAAGCCAGGTGGTGGGGTCAAGTACGAAAAGATTTGGAAAGGATGAGGCTTGTAGAGGAAGATGCATGGGACCGAGACTATTGGCGACAGCGTGTTGGCGAGGCCAAGTACCAGCTAGGGTACAAGTGGCCATGGCAGTAAGCAGTAAGTAAGACCCATTTCCCGGAATCTCTTTTTGTGTAGCGGAAAGCGTCGCAAAAGCCATTGCACTGTTGTATTGCCTTATGTTTTTTATGAAGTTCGAATCATGTAAAAACAGGTCTTTTAGTTCGTCATTTACTTGTGGTTGTGGCATGTCCATTGTGGCAACATGCGTTGAAATGCCCATTTGTGGCCTCCTCTGCGAAGTGAAATGCGCCACAATGCATGCAAGTGCTTTAAAAGGACCTAGATTGTGAGAAATAACACTCCAACTAATTTTCCGTTCTTCTAAAGACAGGTTGTAAAACAGCTTCTGGATTTCTTTCACAGTTAGGCCCTACATGACATTCTCTTTTGCATTTCTTAAGTCTGTTGAATTCCTGGACACTCTTCCACGTCTTGCAGGTCTTCCCCTACCCTGTGTAGTTACTTCACTCATTATAAAAACGGAAAACATAAAAATTAAACAGAATTCATTTTAAAAACATTATTTACCAACATATACTTTCGGAATAAATGTAAACATTGCAAATAAATAAGTAACAGCTGATAGAATGCAGACGTTTTTCATTCCCCATGCATTTCTTATGGGGGATATTTTACGTTATATCTCGTTTTCTGGTAACTTTATGGGAATTCTGCTATTTTTCCCGAGTCCCTGGGGTCAAGACCTTTAATTTAAGACCCCTCCCACTTTTCT